AAACCTATAAATTATACGAGTATCAGTCTCGAAATCGAAGTGTTCACATTTGTTAGGGTTCTCTTGTGTTGTAATTGATTCCGTTACATCTTTTTATTTCTTCAAACGACAAATTGCTTTGTTGGTACACCGTAATTTTATATTAAACTCTCCTTAGTGCTGATCAGACTGCTAGCTGCACTCAGACGAAATACAATTTAATTACTACCTTTTAAGGAACAAAAAGTTCAATCACATGATTTTTATTATTTTAAAACCAACCCAAATGCAAGGTTCTTCTACTACAAATAATCTTTGCTTCAGTTTTTTCAATTTTCAATCAAAATCTTAGTGAAAGTTTATCATTTGTTTTGAAACTGTTTGGTTAATTTGCCAAAAAAGAGATTATAAAGAATTAATTAATTCGGTTTTATTATGGTCGACAAGTGTATTTTTGTTGCAACTACAACATGTGGTTGAAAATAATTATTGATGCAGAAGCTATAAGATTTGGATGTTGAAAGGTTCTCTGATGAGATGAGGTGAAACTATTTTTTATGCTATAATTAATTACTTTTGAGTGGCTGTTATATTTGCTGCAATCAAATTGGGCTGCAGCCTTTCTTGTGATTTTTTTTCTATAAATTTTAATTAACTCCGCTTTTCCTAATAACACCGTTAATCAAATATTCAAGATATAAATCTAATTAGTTATAATGTTTGCTTCGGCATCTCTATTTACTCTCCACTGTCAAAAAAGAAGCTAGGAGAGAAGATCCAAATTCTCTTTCATCATTGTTTTAAATCCACGACAATAATGTGAATTAGGGATCCGATGTTTATTCCGTAGGCACAACTTCCTCTCTCTAAGCTGAGATTTGAAAACTCTTAGATCATAATTTGTGGGATTAATTTTTTTTTTCTTAATTTCTTTCACGGTTTAATTGTTTACTTGTAGCATGTGATCACCTTCTAACCTTGATTAGAAAATGGTCCACGATTAATCATTGCTGAGTTTTTCATGTTTTTGTGAACCAAATTTTCGTGAGATGGGATCCAGGAGTATGACGTTGATGAGGGGTCAGTGACCATGTGAAAATGGGTCATATTTGCTTGCCATACAAGTTGTCAAATTTTTGTATTATATCATATACGTGACCTTTGGTAGGGAATTAACTCTAATTTGTTACAATTGACACGTCGTTGCGTACCTTGTGAAAAATGGTTGTCTAGTTTAAATTGTTTTTCATGCTCCGTGCGTGGCTACATTGCGAAAATAATGCATGAATGAGTAAAATCATCTAACTCGATCCTCTACAATTTCATGTATTGCATCGAAGGACGTAGTCTACAACATATTTTATCCTAGCTTCTCTCAAAGTGCGAGTTATAGCGGTGGGAATTCAGAGTGGTAAGCGCTACTAAAATAGTTGTGTGAATTCATAGAGATGAGGCGCTACTAAAATGCAGCTGAACGCACAGATGAGTGGCTTACACGCAGTTTACCATTTATTCAGAGAGAGGAATATGTGTATTTTTGAAATTTTTACTCTATATGTTTCTATTGTAAAAAAAAAAAATCCATTTCTTAGTACTTCAAGTTTTCTACTGTTCATTTATTATTATTTTTTTAAAATCAATTAATATCTGTATCCCTTCTGAGATTGTTGGCCTTTGCTTTGCTAGTTCTCCTCTACAACGATACAAAGAACCTTTTTTACTGTAACCGAAGAAAAATATACAGTAAATATTGTCCTTATATATATGTAGCTGTTAGATTTTCTAAGTTTCTTCTAAAAATAATCCCGAAATTTCCGATTAATACTGTTAACTATTATATGTGGGGAACTGAATCTTCTTCTATATACACTAGTCGGCCGGACGAAAACTTACTATATATAATAATATAAGACAGTACATTCTTCTTCATAACCATTGGTCTTGTACTCCGTCAATATTCCTTGGGTAACTATTCTTCACATTGTTAAAGAGATCGAGAAAAAGAGATTGATCAACGATATATATATGATGAGCTCTGAACTCTGTGTAAGTATTTTCTCAAATTTCTTCGTTGAATGAATCTTAATTTTATACAGTTCAAATTCATTCGTAATTTACAACTTACTAAGCGCCAAAAATGTTAGTTGTAACTAGATCATATTTTAATTAAAATCACGCGATAGAAATACTTTTTTTTGCAAAGAAACGTGAATTCACAAACCCTGCTTCCTATTAACAAGAGTTCAACGGAACATCCACGCGCTCCGCACGGCTACGAACGTAGAACACCCTCCGAGTCCAACAAAATTTACATAAATGGAATGCGTAACTCCTGTAAGGAGGCGCGGATAGGAACCCCAGCCCGGAACAAAATATCTCCGCTCAAACGACAAAACCAAACGTCCAGACATCTGAAACTACTTATTAATGGTATCAGTTACGCAAACGACAACCGCTACCACATGTGGTAATTGCGGACGGGAACCCCAGTCAGAAACAAAATATTCCGGAAAAGACGGCCAAAAATAGCCTCCCCCTAACATTTGAGCAAAAAAAATATATATAATTTTTTTTTCTCTTTCAAATTATGAGGAATTACCGTCAGATAAATAAGAAGGGGGTACTACAGCTTTTAGGCCCACGGTATTGTGTTGCACGGTTTAACCCTAGTTAGGGGGGGTGGTTGTTCTTCAGATTTAACCCTCGGACTCATCAGAGACAAGCGTGTTGGGGATGTGTTTCTCTCTCTCTCGCTCTCGCTCTCGCTCTCTTACACCGTTTTCTTCTCTCTCCTCCTCCTTACTTTCTCTCTCCTCTCTGTCCTTTCGGCTTTAACTATTATTAGGCAGCAAAGTAAGCCCCGCTGACACCGCAGCATCTCGTTTGTTTTATCATCTCCCCTCCCTCTCTCTCTCTCTCCTCCCCTACCCCCCTTCTCCCTCTCTCTCTCACATCATCATCGGTCTCGTGTCTCGCTCTCCTGCCCCCTTCCTCACCTCTCTCTGCTCACATCAATCATCGCATGCATGCAGCACCCCCCCGCTGCCATCCCCCCCCCTCTAGCCTCCTCCACTCACTCTTCTCTTGCTCTCTCTCTCCTCTCCTCTCTTCTCTCGTTCCTCTCCTTCCCTCTTCTACTGTTCTCTTATGGCTATATATTTATTATATTATTCCCCCGTCTCTATTTTCCTAAATTAACCCGCTCTTTTCTCTTCTTCTTTGCGTTGCCAGCCTGTATCCCCCATGTCCCCCTCCCCCCCCGCCTCCCTCCCTTTTCCACAGTATTGTTCTTTATCCTCTACTCCATTTCCGCTCCCCCCTCCCCTCCTCCCTTTGCTTAGTTTCGCAGGCTCCCGCCATGCAAATTCAGCAGCTATGCAGCTGGAGGTCCCGCGTTCGGACTCCTCCTCCTCCTGGCGCGCCCCTCCGTCCTCTCCGCAGCACCACGCACCCCGAAGTTGAACGCCGAGCGCCGTAACCCTTTCCATATGCCGCCCGGAGCGCGGCGCCCGCCGATCAACACCCGCCCTCCGGCCACCTCCGCCTCCAATTTCGACGAATTGGGCCGCCTCCGACGACCCCCTCGCGTCGGAGGAGAGGGACGTCGCGCGGCAATTTCCGGCGAACCGTGGCCGAGCAGGAGACGCTCGCGCTGCTCAAGATCCGCTCCGAATGACAGGTGCGAATTCGCAAATTTTATAAGTTTCTTTTCTTTTTTTTTCCCTTCTTTGTAAATTTTGGAAATGTAGTTTCTCTGTGGAGATCTGGATGGGGTTTTAACGGTTTTCTTGGGGATACAATTGGGTTTGGTTTCGTACTGCTCGTCTCATTTCTCAGTTCAGATCTCTGTCTCTCTCTCTCTCTCTCTCTACTCATTGATCACGAGCTGAGGTTTTAGCTGAGAGAATCTTTTGCTCCCTCCCTTTTATTTTGCTTTAATAGTGAATTCTTATTTAATTTCTGGGTCACTTCCGTCTCTGAATTCGATGAGAACAGGTTCAGATCCATGGCATCAATCCCAACCAATCACACCCAATTTTCTATAAATTCCTACTGCTACCCGTTTCTAACTCCGAGGGAGAGAAGAAGAAAAAAATTTAATCCTTCACTCTATCCCCAGTTAAAGCTCACTATTAATTTATTTGAGCTAGTTATTATATTATAATCAGATTTGTGTATAGATAGATAGATAGATAGATTGATGGCTGAGTTGAGTGTGCATGTAAGTATATGGATGCAATCATCAGCACTAGCTGCTGCTACTACCTTTCATTTTCCTTGCTTTTTTCGCACTCACTCCTTATCTTTTTAACTCGCTTATCTCTTTTTCTTTACATAAAAAATTAGGAGGGGAGGGGCAAAAAAAGAAAAGGAAAAAAAAAGAACATCAAATATATAAGTATTCCTTTTTTGGGCTTGGCTTCGGTTAATTTTCGGGTGGTGTAGGAAACTAGCCGAGCTCGGCTACAAGAGGAGCGCAAAGAAGTGCAAGGAGAAGTTTGAGAACGTTCACAAGTACTACAAGCGGACCAAAGAAGGCCGCGCCGGCTGCCCAGGAACGGAGCAAGAGCTACTGCTCCTTCAGGCCAGCTTGGAAGACCCTTCACAAAACCACTCCCGTCGACCCAGATGCCGACCGCTCCGCCGGGTAGCCTTAATTGCTGCTCGTTGTTCCCGCAACGAGTCAGCTAGCCCCCCTCCTCCGTTCAGCTTCGGTGCGATCGGCGATAAGGGCCCAGCCGATGCAGATCTCTGCGCCGACCCCGTATCAGCGACACGTGCCGCCGCGCCGCTCACAGGCGCCGCCGCAGCAGCCGATGATTGGCCTCACTGGTACACCCACTGCGCGACCGGCAGGTGCCGACCGGGCGGCTTGGCCGCTCCGGGATTCAGCTCTTAATTCTCGACGAATTCCTCCTGCGTCGTTGAGGTCCGGTACCGAGTCGGAGCGACGACGCATCGAGGCCCGTACGGAGGACGGGGCCGCAGACGGCGGGAGGAAGCGGGCGAGCAAAGCGGGGGGCGACGCGGCAGGGGCAGCTGGGGGCGGGACGGTGGGAAGATGATGGCGTTCTTCCAGGGGAATTGATGAGCAAGGTAGCTGCTGCAGGCCATGGAGAGGCATGGAGCGATG